GGACCGAGCAATTAATGTATTTGCCACTGCCTGTATCTGTGATGGGTGGTGATGAGATTTAGCGTTCAGATATCTATTGGTGTGTGTTGGTTTTCTATAGACAGTGTGTTCCAAGTGTCCATCTTCGGTCCTTGTGATGTGCACATCTAAAAAGGGCAGACTGTTATCCTCTTCAAGTTCTATTGTAAATTGAATCCTTGGGTGAATGGAATTCAGATGATCTAGGAATTTCAAAAGCTCCTCCTTGCCAAAAGGCCATACAACAAATACGTCATCAACGTATCTTGTCCATAGTTTTGGCTTCAGATTTGCCTTCTCTATTGCTTTCTTTTCGAAGTAAATCATGAAGAGGTTGGCAATCACAGGTGAGAGAGATGATCCCATTGCTGCTCCATCTATTTGTCGGTAAATTTTCCCGTTGTGCATAAAGTAAGCGTTTTTCAGGCAATGTCTTGACAGATCCATTATGTATGGCGGAAGATCTTCGTTTTCTTCTATAAGCAAGAGTGCCTCTTCTACTGGAATACTCGGGTAGAGGGATTTGACATCGAAACTTGCCATAATGTCGTCCTTGTCCATCCTGAGAGAACCTAAAATCTGAGTGAAATGTTCTGAGTTTTTAACATAGGAATCTGCCTTTTCCACTATAGGCTGAAGTGCACTGGCCAGATGTTTTTCCAGCTTGCATAATGGTGAGTTAAAGGCGCTTACGATTGGACGCAGGGGAACCCCGTCCTTATGGATCTTTGGGAGCCCGTAGAATTTTGGGCAACGACTCGATTTTTCCCTCGGAATAAGTTTCTTCTTTGTATCCTCGTTTATTGATGAATCGAGAATTTTGGACTTAGTTGTTTTTTCCAAATATGTCGTGGGATCTCTGGTGACTAGTTTGTATATTGGGTCGTTCAAAATATCCTCCAATTTTGCATTATAATCCGACATATTCATGACGACAGTGGCATTTCCTTTGTCTGCTGGCATTATTAGAATGTTTTCGTTTTTGTTTAGATTCCTTAAGGCTTGCATTTCTTCTCTGCTTAAGTTTGGTTGCGGTGGTTTTGACTGTCTTAAGACTCTGGCGACATCTTGCCTAATTAACTCCGCATCTTGTTCGTCTATGGTGGAGAGACTTGCTTCGACGTTGGAAACGATCTCTTCGACGGGTACTCTTTTTGGAGCTATTGCGTAGTTAAATCCTTTATTCAGTACGCTGACTTCTGTATCGGAAAGATGGTATGCTGAAATATTATGAACTGTACTGCTTCGGTTTGTATTTGGCACTTGTCCTGATTTTTTGGAATTTGACTGAAGGATTTCTAATTTCTTCCTCAGTTTTTTTGACGTGATGTCCTTGTCTTTCTCAGTGCGCCATGATGTTAATAATTCTATGCGGTCCCACAGCAACTGATGGATCTTGTTGCTCAGTTTCAGGTGGAGTCTGAAAAGTTGTAGCTCAGTCTCACTAATTTCGTACCGGGTCCGCCTGATCTGGTCTTGGAGTAGGGCCTTGCTAGCTTTGTCCAGGATAGCTTGTGTCTTTCTGGTGCGTGTGTGATAAGACAACCTTGTAAATGTTGGCAGCAAGTTCTGGTTGCGGCAGCTTTTAAGAAAATTCAAGTTGCACAGCGAAATAACCCTCCTTTGTCTTAGTTTTTCATAACACTTGGTGGCTGTAAAGATCTCCTTCCCGTAAAGGTGTATGATATTCTCACGTATTGATTCACGGATGGAAAAATGTGATGACACTATATTCCGGGATATCATCCGTTCGCTCGTTGAACTCCGACTGGAATCCTGCATCCGACTGGAATCCTGCAAATCTTGCATCCGACTGGAATCCTGCAGACGTTTCGCCAAAATCTCACTTGGCATCTTCAATGCTCGCGCTCCGAAAACACTTCGAACACTGGGAGGTTATCGGCGGTGCGTGCGGTATTTATACTCTGCGCCGGAGATAGTAACGGTGCCGCTTGTGCGTGGGGGGAGGTGGCTCCGCCCCCTGAATTGTCGCGTTGTTAATTTCGCCCGATCGTAGTTGCGATGTCCCCGTTGGCTGCTGCGCATCGCTCTGCTGTTTGATTATCGTTCTCCACGTGTTGGGTAAATGCAGAGCGTCGTCTCTCGTATTGAGGTGTCCGGACTTTTCTATTTCGATGGCCTCTCGTATAATCCTAGTCCTAAAATCAGGAATATTAGCTATTTGTTTGCAAGTGCCGAAATCAATTTTATGGCCTGTCTGATGTTGGTGCTGAAACAAAGCAGATGTTGTTTGTTTGTTTCTTATGGCTAAACGATGTTCCTCGAGCCTGGCTGAAATCCTTCTGTTGGTCTGTCCCACATACGTCAGGCTGCACGATCCGCATGCTACACTGTATACTCCTTGGTTTTCCAGAGTAATTTTTTGTTTTGGGTTTCTTAGTATTGCTCCGATGGTATGGTCAGGTTTGTATGCCGTTGATATGTCGTGTTTCCGTAATATTCGGCCGATTTTGTCAGTAACCCCCTTGATGTATGGCAGGACAGCGATCGATCTTCGTTGGGTCTCGTCCTGCACTCTCTGCTGCGGCTGTTGTTGTTTACTGATTGCATTGCTGAGGGTGCGCCTTTGGTATCCGTTTTGTTGAAGACAGGTACTAATTTTCTTCAGTTCTTTATCTCTGTTCCTCTCGCTTGTGAGCCTGAAGGACCGAGCAATTAATGTATTTGCCACTGCCTGTATCTGTGATGGGTGGTGATGAGATTTAGCGTTCAGATATCTATTGGTGTGTGTTGGTTTTCTATAGACAGTGTGTTCCAAGTGTCCATCTTCGGTCCTTGTGATGTGCACATCTAAAAAGGGCAGACTGTTATCCTCTTCAAGTTCTATTGTAAATTGAATCCTTGGGTGAATGGAATTCAGATGATCTAGGAATTTCAAAAGCTCCTCCTTGCCAAAAGGCCATACAACAAATACGTCATCAACGTATCTTGTCCATAGTTTTGGCTTCAGATTTGCCTTCTCTATTGCTTTCTTTTCGAAGTAAATCATGAAGAGGTTGGCAATCACAGGTGAGAGAGATGATCCCATTGCTGCTCCATCTATTTGTCGGTAAATTTTCCCGTTGTGCATAAAGTAAGCGTTTTTCAGGCAATGTCTTGACAGATCCATTATGTATGGCGGAAGATCTTCGTTTTCTTCTATAAGCAAGAGTGCCTCTTCTACTGGAATACTCGGGTAGAGGGATTTGACATCGAAACTTGCCATAATGTCGTCCTTGTCCATCCTGAGAGAACCTAAAATCTGAGTGAAATGTTCTGAGTTTTTAACATAGGAATCTGCCTTTTCCACTATAGGCTGAAGTGCACTGGCCAGATGTTTTTCCAGCCTATAGTGGAAAAGGCAGATTCCTATGTTAAAAACTCAGAACATTTCACTCAGATTTTAGGTTCTCTCAGGATGGACAAGGACGACATTATGGCAAGTTTCGATGTCAAATCCCTCTACCCGAGTATTCCAGTAGAAGAGGCACTCTTGCTTATAGAAGAAAACGAAGATCTTCCGCCATACATAATGGATCTGTCAAGACATTGCCTGAAAAACGCTTACTTTATGCACAACGGGAAAATTTACCGACAAATAGATGGAGCAGCAATGGGATCATCTCTCTCACCTGTGATTGCCAACCTCTTCATGATTTACTTCGAAAAGAAAGCAATAGAGAAGGCAAATCTGAAGCCAAAACTATGGACAAGATACGTTGATGACGTATTTGTTGTATGGCCTTTTGGCAAGGAGGAGCTTTTGAAATTCCTAGATCATCTGAATTCCATTCACCCAAGGATTCAATTTACAATAGAACTTGAAGAGGATAACAGTCTGCCCTTTTTAGATGTGCACATCACAAGGACCGAAGATGGACACTTGGAACACACTGTCTATAGAAAACCAACACACACCAATAGATATCTGAACGCTAAATCTCATCACCACCCATCACAGATACAGGCAGTGGCAAATACATTAATTGCTCGGTCCTTCAGGCTCACAAGCGAGAGGAACAGAGATAAAGAACTGAAGAAAATTAGTACCTGTCTTCAACAAAACGGATACCAAAGGCGCACCCTCAGCAATGCAATCAGTAAACAACAACAGCCGCAGCAGAGAGTGCAGGACGAGACCCAACGAAGATCGATCGCTGTCCTGCCATACATCAAGGGGGTTACTGACAAAATCGGCCGAATATTACGGAAACACGACATATCAACGGCATACAAACCTGACCATACCATCGGAGCAATACTAAGAAACCCAAAACAAAAAATTACTCTGGAAAACCAAGGAGTATACAGTGTAGCATGCGGATCGTGCAGCCTGACGTATGTGGGACAGACCAACAGAAGGATTTCAGCCAGGCTCGAGGAACATCGTTTAGCCATAAGAAACAAACAAACAACATCTGCTTTGTTTCAGCACCAACATCAGACAGGCCATAAAATTGATTTCGGCACTTGCAAACAAATAGCTAATATTCCTGATTTTAGGACTAGGATTATACGAGAGGCCATCGAAATAGAAAAGTCCGGACACCTCAATACGAGAGACGACGCTCTGCATTTACCCAACACGTGGAGAACGATAATCAAACAGCAGAGCGATGCGCAGCAGCCAACGGG